TCCAAGACTGTATCAATGACCTTGGTGAAGATCTTGCTCGCCTTGCGAAAGAGGTTGTAGTTGGCTTCGCCGTGTCTAGCTCCAGAGTTTTCCATGTGTGCGGCCGAATCAAGATGTGATATGAGCACGCTGAGCATGCGAATAATCTCAGCGCGAGATATTTCAGCGGGGAATTGCTGGCCTGTTCGGTGTTGTTCGCGCAAAGCTGTAGCAAGTACCGACGCCGCAGGTACACCAAACAGGAGTAGGGCGTTGAGCATGTCGCGTTGAACGTCGTATGATCGATCGCGTATTCTACCCAAGGTAAGTGTATTGCAAAGAAGATCAACAGAGACGCGCAGTAGCGCAGTGTTGAGCGTCAATGGGCTGTAATCGAGCAGCTTTTGAATCATGAACTCGTTGTACCAATGCGTGAGGTGTATGATGGACAGCATCAGACAGATTACCGTGGGAACATCGTCTTCCCAACAGGTCTTCCAGTATCGCATATGTTTGGGTAGCGTCTCCCAGGAAGTGCGTACACGCTCGGATATATCTCTGCAAACTTGTTAACAGAAGCCAAAGTAGGGTCATCGTGGCATACGTACAGTAACTGAGCTTCCGCGTTTGCGTCTATCTTCACTAGCGAGAACTCCAGGATTTCTTCGCGACTTCGGAGGGATATATGACGTAAACGCTAATGTACGTTAGCTGAGGGAACGAAACCAGCCTAGGTGCAAGACTTACGATCCAAGACGCTCTCAACCATCTGCCTTTGGTATTCCAACCGTCTTCGTCCAACGCTGCGATGGCAGAATCCAAGGTCGCCTGGTCACCGGTGACTTCATTATCGGCCAGGTCGAGTGGAAGCTCGATGTCAGTGTGTCTCTTGCTGATACGTATCGGACGGCCAAGGAAGGTAGATATCGACTTGTCCTGGTTGTATGCTGAACAGAAAACCCTACGGCGTGTTTCCGTCAACCATTTCGGAGCATGAGCGCACTTCTTCTCTTGATGTATACCTAGTGCATATATCTGTGTCGACAGTTCGCCTATCCGTCGCCAGCTGGGTGGGCCTTGGTAGCCGCAGATCATGATTGTAAATAGGTAGTTTTCGTAATACATCCAGATCGTTATGTCGTTGACTGTCGCAAGCATCGTCGTGAGAAAAAGACAGGTCGTACTCGCGCGAAGTAGCTCATCGGCAAAGTGTAACTTCATGTCCTTGTTGGCAGGATCACTGAAGATATCCGGAACGAAGCCAAACGTTAGCGATCGCCCGGCCGTCGCGAGGAGAAAGCCGATAGTTTCGAATCGTAAATTATCACCGGAACACAAGATGTGAAAATCGTGTGCCTCCATTGACTGTGATACTGTGAAAGGGCGTGCAGTCGTCTCGAGTACTTGGCTTATCAGCAGAGAACTGGGTTTCTTCCGCCGAAGGTCATGCTTGTCAACAACAGCTTCTAACGCATTCACGGCGTCGACCTGAACCTGGGCAGGTATCACACCTGCTTCATTTGTTGCATTATACCAGAGAACGAGCTCTTTGATAGCGTTGTAATGGCGAAGAGTGCTCAAAACATCACAAGCCATCTGGTATCGCATGGACTTGGACAGGGTGTGCTGGTGTGTAAGTTCGCGATCTGATCGTTCTGATGCAACAGACTCTTCGCGTTCACGCATCTGACCGGGTTCTTCATCCTGAGGAAGAAGTACGGCGTACGATCCAGGCCCGAGGAACCCAGGGTGATATACATCAGCAGCAACGGCATCCGCAAGTTTGTCACCATGCGACGGAGACGCTGGGGCAAAAGCGGCAACAGCGTCCGAAGCCTGCTTCGAGGGTCGTCTGTTCGAGTCAAAATACTGATGTGAATGTAGTTCCAAATGTATGCATACTTTCTTTTGGGAGGACGGGCTTCACCTGTTCCTGACTCATCGGCACTCTGACGCTGTCTGGTGAGAGGTGCTGGGTGGTAAAAGCATCGGTCTTCAATACCACGTTGACGACATCGATCACACTTGGGATGGCCATGATCACATTTGGTCTTGTTTAGCCTGCATGGTTCGCAGGATGCAGGCTTGCCATTGCGCCTGCTGCTGCCGGCGTCCCTGTTGGTTGGTTAGCAGGTGGATAGTTGTAGACTCAACGCGTAGATTACATGTCGATAACTGCACCAGTGTGTGCAAGGGAGGATTCTCAATTCATGTGTGTGTGACATAATCTCGGAAACACGCGTCGGTGAGTTCGTCATGTCTATGGTTGGGCGCAGGCGAGATTGTGACGCGGGTTGCCTAAGCGCGAGGTGTCTTATCGATAAGCGACGCGTGCAACCCGTGACGCCTTCTGCTTCTTCCGAGGCCTTTCACTGCCACCACCTATCCATCGCTACGCGCCGGCACACATGCATGATCATGTCAGCCAAATCTCAGCGTCCGCCTGGTCGAATGGGGCACTGCCACCCTGATGGGCTACTCCCCTGCGATGCACAGCCTCATGGACAGCCTGCCAGCCTTCACATGGAAAACCTTCTCTTTGCGCATTTAGCTATTGCCTTCGCTCTGCCATAGTAATTGAGGCTTACGGGTTGCCCAATATACACAATGGGCATGCTTCTACGGCCTCCTCCACTTGATCCCCTCCGAATACGCCTCGCGCACGCCTTGGGCTTCCCGAATTACCCCAACGATGACACCGTCGAACCGTACATCAACTACCTTCTGAACCAGCACGATGCTCGTGGTACTCCAGAATACGAAGATCTTCTCATAACCATAGTACAATACTTCCATGGCCCTCAGCCCCTTGGGTCAATGAAGAGGAGCATTGAAGGGCTGCTACACTCGCTATCCAACCACCCGAACACACAATGGCACGAAGAGGACACGGTAGTGCGCGCTATTGGCAGCTGCACACTGTTACTGAGCTCGTTCACCGATCTACCAACGGTAGCCGGTAAGCTCCGAATGGTGACGGCGAGCTACAATCTGCGCATGCACGGAAGCCTGCTGGGTGGCCAGCCATACTTCGAGAGCTTGGCAGAATTGGTAGCTGGCAGCGGCTTGCTACCAGCGCCTGTTGCATTCGCCTCTGTGGTGACCATGGCAGATTTAGAGTCCTTGGAGTCGCTCTTTGTTGACGCCACCCACCTCAACGCGTACAGGTTGACTGTGTTCGGAGCAGTGGAAATCACCTGGACTCACAACATCTCCCGGCACCTCCTGCTATCGAACCGCAACGGACGTCGCATACTTGAGATCTTCGCGCTACCATGCGCCTTAGATGCCGCTCCCCTTAGGATGGTCGGTGTTGGTAATGAGCTGGCGCAAGAGGTCATGGAGTCATACAGCTTGCTATTCAACGCCTGGCCCTCATTGGGTCCTCATGCTAAGCTTGGTTTATGGGTACGTGTTTGTGTACGGACTGCATATGGAGCATACACTGACTTGGTATACCTATATACAGCGGCGATGTTGCCCATGTCAGCCATGTTCTGCTCGACGATACCGCAATCGCGCGATCAGCGATTACCAAGCCTTTAGTCGACTTCAACGTAGCAGCGAATACGACCCTAAACTTCCTCACCTCATGAGCGCCATAAATCAGCAGCCGATCGCATGGACACCTGGCATATTCCCTCATCTCTGGTCTCGAATCATGATCCTAGATGAGCATCTGCAGCAGGCGAAGCCATGGAGCATCTGGGTCTTGTTCCGTAACCGTAACGATACCCTGCAATTCTGGACGTTCTTGTGAGATACTCAACACTGTTGCACTTCATAAGACTGACAACATGCAGGTTCGCTACGGTCGTTGTCTTCATGACCGCAGTTCAGGTTTTGCTTGGCGTCGCACAAGTCGTGGGGTCGTTCCGCTGATGAACGACATCGGAAGCATTCAGCCTCGTATCACGGGCGGCTAGCCCCCACCCGCAGGTATTGCGAAGATCCATGGTGCGCGTTCGCTTATGCGCCTGCCTGACTGGTTGCGACGGAGAACACCATGATTGTGCAGCTGGCTTGTCTCCAGCCTTGGATGCTGTTGCGAAAACCGGATCTGACACGCTGTGTTCTAAAGGTACTTCTTAACATGGATGGAGCTTACTTGCTACGATGCCTTTCTCCCCGATCCTTTACCGCCTATAACTTGTGTCGTATCTTCCAGCCACACGAGCAACATGCAGCTATCGCCTGAAGCCCAAGGTTATCGTCAGCATATACTCAACTACGCTGCACGTTCATATACTCGCACGCTTTTCTTTGGCTATCATTACAGATTTCTCGCTGAGCTGCTCCGAGCTGATGAGGCACATCTACCCAAGCAATACAGTGACCTTGAAGCGTATCATCTTGGTCATTTTTCTGTGTATGGGCCGCCTTGTCATGGCTCTGAGCAGTATCAACGTCATAGTTACAAATATTCTCAGTTACAGGACCTAGTCGCAGCTCCGCCTCCGAGCAAAGGGGAAGGACAGGTCCTTTTCCTCAATGGACATCTTCCAGGGTCTTGGATATGTGAAGTGGGCGCGAAATACAATATCGCTCCCGAGTTCTTTCGGCAGCATATCCATCTTTGGCGCTCGACTGACGGGCCTGTTCTTCACGCATTCACGAGAAGCCCCTACGCCACTTCGAACAAAGGGCTCCTACTGCGTCTTAACACCCAGGGAAACTTTGGCAAGAACAAGCTGCCTGTAGACTCATTCAGTAGCTTGATCTTGCAAGCGCGACGAAGGCTTCTACCCGACGACGTTGAGTGGATGCCCAGACGTTTGGCCGCAGCTCCTGGCTGTTCGTATGTAAGAGGCCATGCATATCTTAGCAACCTTCAATTTGGCATCGAGCAAGATGTGTCCATCACCGTTGAGTCAAATGGAGACGGCTGGACTGGTGAGCGAACTGTCAAACCTTTGTTTTCGTTTCGTCACCGCTTACCATGTGTATCAGCAATCTTGTGGACAGATGTCGGAAGCAGGAATCTCTCTCATAGCCGCACTTACCATCATTTCATCGAGTATATGGCGACCAAGACAGAGACAGGACGCCGAGACATCCGCTTATTACCTGTACATTTACTGGGACAGGAGTCGGCGATCAAACATCCATGGCCGCTGCCCTTCCCCGATCTCGATATCACGCAAGACACCGATGGCTCGCTCTTCCAGACAGCGTCCCATCTGCCATCAGAGCTCCACGTAATGCTTGATGATCACGAGATCGCAGGGCAAGATCCGCTATACGCACTTGCACCTATACTCTTGTTCGCAGCCGCCTCGGAGATTCAGCTACTATCAACACTTCAAAAATGGTACGACATAATCGCATCGACGAAATGGGATCGGAAGTACTCAACGGAGCATCTGGAACAACTCATAATGCACAAACACCTCCTGGATGACCACGCAAGTCGACATGAAGAAGTTATACGATTCATCAGCTCGCCAAAATTAGCTCGATGGGCAGCCAACCTCACACAAGATCAGAGCGATGTAGCTCAGGAAGCCAAAGATGCAGTCAAGGCTGACTACGAGTTCCTCCGATCGCGATGCCGCCAGCTGTCGCTACACTACCAGGAAGCGATATCAATCCTAGTTAGCGCTACTTCACTTGCAGAATCTCAGAAACAGATCACGCTAGCCACCCAGGTCACGAAGCTCACTATACTCGCGACTATCTTCCTCCCACTTTCGTACTGCACTTCGATATTCGGCATGAACTTTGTTGAGCTGGAGCAGTTGAATATATGGATCTGGGTGGTCGTCACAGTGTCGGTTGGGATCGTCACTTTCGCTGTTTATCAGTGGGATGAAAGGCAAAGACTGTGGGATTTCTGGGCTAAGGCCAAAGCTAGGATTCGACTGGCTCGCTGGCAACGCGATACCTCCGCGGCAGTGTAAAGTAAGGGGAATCCAACGAAATACTGCTATCAGATAATGTCGTACTCCTTCAGCCCGGCGGGAACTTCAAACGCTCCGTAAAATGCAACCCTTCCAAGTTGTAATCTGCGCTCGAGCGCGGGGCCTTCCATCTCGAAATTCTGCACGTGACCGCTGCGCTGCACGAAGCTCTGGAAGCCCACAATGCCCGGACCGTATGTACCATCTTCCCTCACCCCGTCCGCATAAAGTGCGGTACCACTATGGCCTTCTGGTGGATCGAAGTCGGGATGCACACGATATAAGAGTGCGCGCGAAACGAGATCTTTCCATGTCGCTGCGTCGTGCTCTTTGAGATTCTTTGAACCCCCCGCTGCAGCCTTTTGGTTTAGGAATATGCCCTCGCCTACAACAAGGATATCCGACGGACGGCTGCCTTGGATGCTTTTCAGAGACCGCGCGATCGAGGAGTCAGCTAGGAGCTTGACCGTGGTTGTCTGTTGGCGGAGCGCCGCCCAAGAGTCGTGGCGGAGCCACCCGATGTCGAAGACAAGTGATGCAAGGTCGGTGAAGGGTGATACAAGGCCCTCTAGCGTAGCCAGCGACACAGCTTCAATAAGCGTGACGTCGTGAAGAAAACCGTCTGGATAATTTCCAGCTTCTTTATCAAATGTCTTCCCGATCTTTCCAATCTAGCGAGTGTGTCAGCATATGACAGTGTTCGACGGGTGATGTCTGGGTTGATTTTAACGGGAGACATGTACTGACCTGTCGGTCACCAGCCCAAATCTCCGTGTGGTTATTCCAGTCGGTGTCCAGTTTGTGCAGTTGAGCTGCACGCCCCGACCTGAACATGGTGTCCCTATAAGATCTTGCCAGTATCGCATGTGTAATAATGTGTGTCGACATCACTACAAACGGACTGCCGCCTTTGACAACCGCAAGACCGATACGTCCAGTATACTTTTCGCTTCGATGGTTGGACAGCGGACGCGCTTCTATAAAATCATTGAGCTTTAGGGGTAGTCTTGTGTCCAAGTGTTTAACTTGGCAATGAGTTTGGTGAGGAAGGTTTGGTGGTGATGGTCTGGGATCGTCGAATTTGAATGATGTCGAATGAGGCCTTACACTACTTGTCTCAGTTGTCTTTGATAACATGGTAGGCTCCAGAGTTCTCTCGATATAGCAGACTTTAAGACCACCATACTTGTGTGGAAGATGCGAAGATGCCCACTCAGTGTCGAAATTGTCCGGTACGATGATCTGAAGAAGGCCGTTGACTAGGATATAAAGGCCAATACTGCCTTCGAAGGTGAGGAAAATGTCTCGCACGACGTCCAAGGATATTTCGGCATGACAGTCAAGAGGGGCCGCAGGACGGGGATCAGGCGGTGGCGCTAACCCACTGGATGGTGGCCATCGATATTCCACAGGGAGTACTACAGGAGCTCCAGCTATCGTGAGGGGGTATATACTCGGTTCCCCAGGCTCGAGTGGTGTACAGGTCCAGGAGCCAGTTGCACCATGTTGGTCATGAGATAGAATGTTGCAATACTCAAGATCCCACTTCCAAGTCTCTGGGAGCTCAGTCTGAACGCCTTCCCAGTCTCCATTAAAGTCTAACAAAATTGCTAATTCCGTACACATGTGAGCACTGGGTTCTTCCCGTCGCGGGTGTTTGTACGTCTTGATGTCCGTCTTGCCATGTCGAGCTTTCTTCAAGCTTGGCCCTTCCTCCAAGGCTGTATGGGCTACAGGATCCTGAAACGAGCTGGCTTGACCAGAAGAAAAATTGGTATTCAACTCTGAACGAGCGTACTCTTCATCGGCATCTGCTGTGGAGTAGAAGTGGTCGTGTCGGAGGGCTTGGAACAAGGGTCGAGGTACAGCTTCAGTAGTTCCACCGCTTGATTCAGCCACAGAATGTGGTGGAGACAACGAACTATCAAGAGTCGACGCTGTGTTGTGGCTAGTCATGCGTCGTGAACGAGGTGTCTCGTTGGTCCTGGGATGGTCCGAGGCTTCCATATTCGGCTTCCGAGCTCCTCCCTTGTTGGCCTTCAGGTAACTACCCATAGCTGTTTGGCGTACAGTTTGCATTTTTGACCTCGATTTGAACTCGGAAGGCTTCATTGCCGTGATCCAGCTGAGCGCTCCATCGTTTTCAGAGCTCTCTGCATGTTCAGGTTCAGAGTTTGGTAGCCCTGACTGGGGGTATGGGGGTAGTCGTCGATCTTGAGCCATACGCTCATCATTCACCGTAGGCTTTTTCGCTGCATTCGGACCTGCAGATAGCGCTTGCGATTTTTCCATGGTGGGAATTCGAATGCTGATATGTTACCGGCGTGAGGGAGAGTGTTGGCAGTAACCGACTTCTGTTAGATAAGGCTACGACGAATACTTTTGGGCGGACGAAAGACTGGAGAGCGCTATATGCCAAATACGACCCTCAACGAAAGGGCTTCAAAGCTAATCAAGGGCAGGAGGGGGTGCGAATAATGTCACAGGAACGAATTCTGAGGAGGAGCTGTAAGAGGAATGTCCGTCAGCTGAGAAAACAGGTGCGCAGGTAGGCTGCGCCACCAGGCCTGGGCGTACATGCTGCAGGTAGCAGTGCGTGAGATTTCTGAACCGCATTGAGCTCCGGTGGACCAACAAAAACTGACTGGATGACTTCCAAGAGCTGTGATAACTGGCCAGACTGTACTCCTGTTTTACGGAATGGCAAGCTGTCCGTATCTTTCTGGTCTCAGTCCATCGCGGTAGATATAAGCAACCCAGCCAATCACATACTGCGCCTGCTTGCCATCATCACTGCCCCTCGCTGCCTGCGTCACCTTACTTTTTATTGTGACATGCAGCAACAGCTTTCCCTTTATGGAGTTGATGAGCGCAACTTCCGTTGAACGATGGTATACCTCAAACGTGAACTTGACCCATATCGCCATTTCTGGATGGCTTCATGAAGGCTCCTCACCCATAGATCTTATGTTCTGCATTCAGACATATGTGAATAGATGCGAGAATGAAAACGTCGAGCCACCGCGCGGACTGCGCAATGAGTTCGGGGTTTTATCACGGCCCAAGAGCAGTCCGCAGCATAGAGCCTGGAAGCATCAACAGTATGAATTGTGATTTCATAGTTCGCCACTTTGTCGACCCTTTTGTATGCTAGTCACCACGAATTCGACATCGGTCTCTCGATCGACGTTGGCGCTAAAGTCTTGGGTCACCCGAGCGCGAGTGAGACCAGTACTCGAGTAAGATAGCCACATAGTATCCGCACCGAAGCCATGTACGCTGGCTAGAAGTGTGCCAAATCCACGCTTGAGCAGGTTCTCGTTGTATGTGTTGCCATCCCCTCTAGGCTTTTCCAACAATATGCCGAGCGCGTCGCCAAGGAGGTCGGAGGACAGTTGGGATCGTATCGACTCTCGCCACGGTGAGGTACCCTTCTGTATGGGCTCCGAGCCAAACTGGAACTCTGCGCGTTTCCGTATCTCCATTCGCTTAACGCGCGGTCCGCGCTCGGGTATATCTCCGTGAAATGTCTCCGTGACTCATGCCGCGCTGCCTTGAGCTCAGAACGTGGAGCGCGACTCCAAGAAGCGGCGTCCTTGGAAGTTTGCTGCCCGTGACGCGTCAACCCGCAAGAATCTCTACCCATATTCTGATCGGAAGTGCGGTAAAGCCATGTCTATGTTCCGGATAGACTTGATGGGCTGTCCCTTAGACAATACGGGCGCGTTCACGGTCGGGTCAGGTCGGGTCGTGTCAGGGCTAGTTGACATGCTGATGCTCGAGCAGCGAATCTTGTTCAGTCATAGAGAACTTCTCTGGTGTGAGTTGGCATGAGCCTGAAGTGCCGTGCGGGATGTTGAGGGTGCAGTTGCAAAGTGAGCCGTGGTTGGTAGCAATCCATGGATGGGACTAGCAATGACGATGGCATGAAGTGGGGTGGCGGACGGTGGCTTGTGCGCTTTGCGCAATGCCCATCCAAGGGCGTTCCTCACAACGCCTACACCAGCACAACATGTTTCTGCAATGGACAGCGTTGGTGGTGGATAACGAATACTGCGACGCAATGCCGCAGATGACGGTCGTGACGATAGCTGTCTGTGCACTCGCACTGCTTTTGCGAAGCAAACACTCGTTGCACAACCATCATCATCATTACCTCAATCATGAGATCTAGGGTTCCTACATCAACTGTCCATCGAACGTTATACCGACTAAAAGTGCGGGCTTCACCTGTGGTGGGAAGTAGATGCGTCCGATTCACTTCCTCATGTTGCAGGCGCGCGTTCCTGTCGTCAAATGCCAGCCTGCAGAATACAGACCACCGCGAGTTGTTCGAGTTTACTTCTGGTAGATGGATGTATACCACCTCACATTATTTCACTCACTCACCTGCTGGCTGACATGAACATGTAGTGTCAACGAGTCTTTGCGCACGGCAGAACGCCGCCTAGTTTTCAACGTCTCCGAACTCAAGGAAGTAGCCGCGAAAGCACTAAACAGACCAGCTTCAGATGTGCACGCGATAAAGAAGATCGCCGAAGGCGGTTTTAATCGTATCCTCGAAGTAATGATGAATGACGGCTCGTCGGTACTCGCCCGTCTTCCATACCCATCAACCTTACCACGACGCCTGGCAGTAGCGAGTGAAGTCGCAACGCTGGACTTCCTCCGCACCAATGGAATACCTGTACCGCGCGTTCTGGACTACTCGACTGGTGAAAACGCTGTCGGTGTAGAGTATATGCTGATGGAAAGACTACCGGGAAAGCCTCTGAGTGATATCTGGTTCAACTTAGCCGAAGAGGAAAGATGTCATATTCTGCACAAAATAGTCTCGATGGAAATCAAGCTCTTCGCGAACAGGCTTCCCGCCTGTGGCAGCATATACTATCCACGCGACTTGCCTACCAATACCCCCCGCGTTGATATCCCTGGATCCGATGGCAGCTTGTGCATGGGGCCGTACGCATCTCAGAAATGGTGGTACGGCGAACGTGGGATTTTAAACGTCGACCGAGGCCCTCGTACGTCATTTTCACGCGAACATTACATTCGATTGATTCTCATACGTGTAGATGCTAATCCCGAGCTCGTTCTTCGAAGTCATGCCGAGAAGGAGTTGGCGTGGATCCGCAAATACGGACGGACACGACACCCATTCTATCGCGAATACGCTGAGTCATTTGGATACAAGAAGCAAGACCCTCAAGACCACGTTCATTCGCTAGGAGACTACATACGCCTCATACCTCACCTTGTACCTAAAGATGCGACAGTGCATTCGCCCACTCTGCGACATCCAGATCTCTCTCCTAATAACATACTAGTATCTGACGATCTTCAAACCACCGGCTTCATCGACTGGCAGCACTCCGAAGTTCTCCCTGCTTTTCTCGCCGCGGACATACCAGCGGCATTTGCAAACTACGCAGACGAAGAGTCTCGAAGCTTTACAGAGCCCAAACTACCGGAAAATCTTCCGTCTATGGCTCAAGACGAGCGTGCTGAGGCAGAAGAACTATATCGCCGACGACACATACATTTCTGGTACCTTGGCCTCACTCAGGTCCTGAACGAGCCTCATTGGCAGGCGTGCACGCATGACGGAACTTTCATGACACGTCAGATATTTCACGATGCCGGCGCTCCGTGGCAAGGTGACAATGCTCATCTCCAGATCGGTATCGCGGATGTTGTGGAAGAATGGCCAGTGTTTGCATCTGCCGCCGCAAACGGCACGGTTCCGCCATGCCCCATCATCATATCCGAGCAAGAGATGCAGAGAAGAGCAGATATGCGGAAGTCACTGCACGAAGGCAACATGTTTAGGGAAGAATTATGCGAGAAAATGGGTGTATCCCATAGCGGATACACATCGCACGAAGACTTTGACTTCGCGAAAGAGAAAGCAAGCAAGGCAAAGGAATGCATAGTGGACAACCTGAAAGACGACCCGGAGGAACTGGAAAGAGCCTTACTTACTTGGCCTTTTGATGACTATGACGAGAATGAATAAGGTCATTGTTCTCGTCCTCCATGTACACTATTAGCATATGAGCGTTACAGCGTGACGACGTGACTATTACTCCACTCATGTGATTGTACACCATCCTTCAGAGACACTCGCACAAGACACGTTTGTGACATCGCAAGTTCTGTTGCACGCGCTGTATCTGACAAGCGCCCGTACGTGTGTGGTGGAGGTTGGAGATGGCTATCTGAGTAATGCAGTCGTGCAACTCAATTGCGGGGCCACCTGGCACATCGTTGCGTACAAAGCAGTCGCGCAAGGCTTGCACATGCGATACGTTTCTGCATGTCAGTATCAAGCCCTCATGAGGTTCGTCGTTCACACCTGCCTGGGCATGTTCAGCGCACAGGCTTCTGATGCTGCCTGGTCTGTCAGCCTTCTTTTTTATATACGTCATCACTCCGGATCTCAGGCCACCATCATCAAGATCGCGCTTCAGGGGCACAGCCTCATCACCAAACTTCCAGTCCATCCGTCGCAGCGGTCGCGCAATTCGATATAGTAGCCTGCATCAGCTACGGTACACAGCCAAGGCGGAAAGGAAGGCGTTACGCGCCAGGAACTGATTTTGGGAACGCGTGGGACGCACACGGCAAATCTCTCACCACCCAGACCGCGCCCTCGCCCGCGCCGAACCACCCCACATCAGCTTTCAACATCATGTGCATCGGGAAGCTTTTGCCTGCTGCATCTTGCGGGCAGTGCTTGGTGCCTGCTCGACTACTGGCTTGGACATGCGATTGATGATGTGCTCTGACGCCTGATTGGCCAGTCCAGGCGTAAGAAAAGAAGAAGCTGAGGCTGAGGCAGTCAACCATTGTCCAAATGTGGGCTACGGCAGGCTCGCTCCTGATGCGTTCGCGGGACGTTGAGTCCTTCCCAGGCTCAGCTCGCGTCTGTAGGGATGATGCCTTATAACAAGGCTTCGCACCGTTTACCCGCTCATTACGACTGCATCTTGTTCGATAAGACACCATCTGGATAGTTCATCAAAAGTACTTTTCCGCAAAGCACGACTTGAGATCATCGAATACAGTACCGGTGGAAACACCAACTAAATGGCTGGCAACATGGCATACGCCGAGCGCCTTCCACTGTTGGACGAGAAGGTCGCACATGCCCATCAACTGCAGAGGGAGGATGAGACTTTCCAAAACTCGACGAAATCAGCGGAGCGAAGTCTAGCCGACATCCTTCGCCATGTTGTTCTACTGCCTCTTCTCTGCGGCCTCGCCGTATACGGATCCTATACCTTTTGCAG